CTTTTAATATATAGAAGATATGTACAAATAGCAAATATTATGGGTCTGTTTGATCAAACTTTTATTGTTACTTCTATTTTTTTATAAAAGACATTTTAGATCAAATTTCTCTAAAGTCCTTGTAATCAATTACAAATCTTTTACAAAATTATCTAAGTAGATTCTAAAGCAATTTCAATTCATCGCGTGAGCGCCATCGCCACTTGATCTCTGACGAAGCCCAGGTTCCCACCTTCCACTGTCACTGTCACCGTCACCACAAATGGGCAACGTGTTCTGACCATGGTGCACATTGACGCAGCAATGGTGACGAATAAAACGAACGGTTCCTACGTGGGTAAAGAAAGTGGTGTAGAGTATATTTGAATATACCAGATTTTTGTTAAAAAAAAAAAATTGAAACCTGTTTTTTGAAATTGAAACTTTAAGAATTAATACTTAATTAGATGTGGAATGCCGAAGGGAGGCCAATTATTTTCAAAGATAGTTCGAATTAATACTGAATTAGTATTTGCGCACATACACAAAATGATGTTGAGGTGAATGATGATCAGATTCAATACTGGAAACGGTTTATCGAACTAATTGGAATAGTTGGAGGTTTATGTCAAATCAATGGCTTTACCATTGGTTGATCGATTAAGAGGCCTAATTTTTATTGATAGACAATAAAGCATTAGCGATTGCTTATATTGTTGCCAAAAATAATGGAGGTACTGTTTGTTTTAACATATTGGTCTATCATGTTCGTGTTTACCTAAATTCTATAAGATTTATTGAAAGAAGGAAGATAAGTTATTAAATTGCATTATTAATGTACCCTAAAGTCGTGGGGGTAGCATTTCACCCCATTATTGCATATGATGAATACGGTCATATCTAGATGCTCAATTAAAATGGGATCAATGACGATACTAATTGAGATTGCAATATCTATAAGTGAGGAAGTGAGTGTACTATCGTCATTCCTAGTCATATTATATGTTGACTATAAATAGAATAAATTTATAAATGGATGTATAAAGGTTTGGAATAAGCTAATACGTTGCTTTGGATTTCTGGTTTCGCAACAAAAATANGTACTCATTGCCGATCTAAAATTGAAATTGAATCAGTTGAAGGTTCTCATTTACTTGAGCAAAAAGCTTTCATAGACCCAAGATCATGTTGATGGAGGTCGGCAGGGCGGACCTACACAGGGGCCTACAGGGGTACGTGGCCCTGTAGATTTTGGGATTTTTTTTAATTAAATATAAAAAGAAAAAAAATATGTAAAACCTACATTTCATTTCTCTCCGGCAACCTAGCTCCCTGAGTCGTCTCTCTTCTCAGTTCTCTCATGTCTCCAAAATCCATCCCGTAATCCCATTTCTCTTCTTCTCTCTCCCAAAAAAAAAAATCTGAAACTTAGATTGTGCCCCCCTAATTTTGAAAGTCTGCGTCCGCCCCTGGAGGTCGGAATCGAATTG